CAAATCTGTATATATATATATATATATATATATATATATATATTTCTTTAAACAAAAAGAAAAAGATTTTGTTTAAATCTACCTCATTTATAGTTAAATTAACAACGTCCTGTTGACTGGTTGGTAAGAGACTCTTTTTTTTACCACTTCTGTTTTTGCCTTTCGTAATTCTTTCCGATTCCATTGACAGCTATGTCCAGTAAGATAATTGAAAGTCAAAGCTTTGATCGCAGTGGGTATGGAGCAGGGAAGAATAAGCACAGAATGTCCATTGATCTAATGATAAAACTGTTTCATTCTGTTTGAAAATCCAAGGATTTAGAGTCTGTCTTTTAAAATGGTCGCAGTTGGCGCATTACTGGTTATCCTCTTTGTTTCAGGTGAGTTGTTTGTTCACTTACTTATTCATAGAGTCATTTCAAGTAGGATATAGATACTAAAAGCTGAAAGATTTTCACCTAATTTCATAATGTGACTGAAAACCCTCATTGTTTTGCACAACAGTCTTTAACAACAAGGCAGATGTAGCAGATTGTCTTAATCCACCTGTTAATTCTAAATCTACAGATGCTCTGGCCAGTTGTTTTAAGCCTGCATCTCTCTTCATTACTGCACCAAATAAGATGGAAGCACTGAGCGGATCTTGTTTGCAAATCCCATGTAGCTTTACTGCCAAAGACAAAAATATTTTCACTGACACCATACAAAGCTTTGGAGTCTGGATAAAAAAGGATCCTAGATTTGGAGACGCTCCAGGCAATGTGATTTTCAACAGCAGTGAGACGACGCAAACGTATCCGATGGAACTTGTTGGGAACCTTGGGAAGAAAAATTGCACAACCATTTTTTCCAATTTATCTCCCAAGCACAAGGATGTTTATTTCTTCAGATTAGAGAATGGAGATTTCAAGGCAACTTCGTCATGCCACCCTATTAACATAACTGTAAAGGGTAAGTGAAAACGTATTTGTTAACCATTTGCTGGTAATACCTACATATCCTTTCCCTTTTTAAACCAGCATTCTATGGGTGGATTATTACAACTCATACTGTGAATGTGAAAACGTTTATCCCTGAGTACATGCTCCCGTACCAGAGTAAGGGCTTTAAAACTGGTAAAAAAATATTTGCTTTTTTTTTTTTTTTTTTTAAGTTAAAACTAGATCGTATACAAATGCTTGGCATCTATAACAATGGACGTTTCAATATTTTGGAAAT